CCCCAAAACCCCAAAACCCCAAAACCCCAAAACCCCAAAACCCCTTTTTATGAAAATAAAATTGTTTTTTGAAAATTTTAGACTTTCAAACAAGAAGCCTTGTGCTTTCTAATTTCAAGTTTAGCTACTTGGCCCATTAATCATTAAAAATACTTTAGTTTCCTTTCTCTAGTATATCCATAGTAGTGTACACAATCTCATCGCCAGGCTTGAGGACAGTCTGTTTCTTAATCATCATCTGAATTTCTTTCTTTGATGGATTAAAATGGAATCCTGGAGGGTATTTCCGCTCCAACCATTTTCTCTCTAAGGGTACATAGTCGAACTTCATTTTCGCTTTTCCTGTCTCAGGTCGAGCTTTATTCTTGTTAGGGGAATTAGATGTGCGATGCTTTGCCCCATGAGTACCTCCTTCCTTAGTGTTCTTATGCTCTGCCTTTTGGGCTTTTTGCTGCCTCAAATATTCGCTATCTAGAATCGCATTATCTACACCTTTGTATAAGAACCTATTCATAAGTTTAATGACTGTTGTGAGAGTCAGAATTTTATCATCTGATTCGAAATCTCCCCCTTTTACTTCACATTTGTACTTAGACCACTCGTAGACTTTAGTCATATGCTCATACTTGAGCTTTTGGAGATAATACTTGATCAACTTCTCCTTTACATCATCATCAAGTGTTTGAAGTTTCTTTAACAGTGTTTTGAACTTCTTGTTTTTCCCTTTATGCTTGGCTCAGTATAATATCATAACATCTGCTTCTTTATCCCACATTCTTTTGAGCACAGTTGCTCTGAACTCGAAGTTAGACCTATTCTTTATCCACGCTTGTTGGAGTAAGGAAACTCGTTCATGGTATTTTATAAATGTCTTTTTGATATCATAATTCATTGTAGAGACCTGAATGAAGTCTTTCAGAATATTCTCTGACCTCTGCACTGATATGTCCTTCATAAATGGCATTCAAGCCGTCACTGCAGTACGGACTTGGTTGCAGGTTCTATCTTCAAACGAAGGGCCAATCTTAGCTTTGTACTCTCCGAATCTCCTTATGATTCTTTTAGCGAATAATTTTTCTTTGTACTCTTGATACAGGGCCGTTTTTGTCTGATCAAAAACTTGGAAGATTACTTTTAAGGCTTCATTGGTCTTCTGCTGTCTGATCCACCAGAACTTTCTCAGCTGCTTTTGCTCATGCTCTCTTTGCATTTTCTCGACATCCCTTCTCTTTTCTCTAACGATATCCCATCTGTTTATGTAATAAATATTATGCTTGAGCTTATCCATGAACATCTTTTCTTTCTTATTTCAACGCATTTTGTCTTCTTCGTTGGAATTTCTGACTCTTTGATTTCCTCTCTTGGATTGAGATTCTGTTCCAATATGTTATCCTCCTGATGTTCTCTTCTACAATGTCCTGCTTTGGCCTCGTGGGCTTCATGATCTTTACTTTGCCTAGTTTTGCATCGATGTCTTCTTTTTTGTCTTCTTCCTTGACTTCTTTCTTTCGTCTCTTTTTATCATCTTCATTCGGAAAGTCGATAAAAAGTTCAAATTTGCATTCAGTGATCGATGTGATAAGGCAATAAATATATTCATTTTCAAATACTTTCTCATTATTTTCAGGAAATATCTGAAAACGCGGCTTATCAGAGATAGTCAGCTTCTTGCTACTCTTAGGGTTAGTGCCAAGCGATTTATCAAAAGAGACATAACTTTTCACCTTTCCTCTGGTCTTGAATTTGAGTATAAATTTAGCTGGCCCCACTAAGCCCTTACAGCCTACTTTTAGGAGAAATGGGATGTCTTCGAATATTTCTACTTCTCTAGGATCATTACGTTGCACTTCTACATGAAGTTCACCGTTAGAAACAATGCTACTAAGTTTGTAGTTCATTTTCTTCATCTTCAGGGTTGCGCTGACAAGGAGCTTCCCACAGTCAACATGCTTTAGACTAGAAAGCTGGGACATATCATTGTGCATCTCTCTTATCTTCTCAAGCGCATTTAGTTGATCCTCTGTTCTGTTATTTTGGACATGGGTCATATTTGAAAGATTACTCGTAGACGTTCTAGCTGTAGTTTCATTATTAAAGTAATTTTGTTTCAAAGGGTTCCTTTGAATATTCAAAAAATTATCAGACATCTTCGTCAATGTCTGGTATGGGTTGTAATAACTCCTTTGAAAATCAGTGCTAGGAGCTGTGTGTTGGCTGAACCTTATAAAATTACTGTCATGTAATTTCTTATCTGAAGGCGACAGCTGCAGGATACTTGAATCCTGAGTTGGCCTCTGCGTCCCCCTAGTGAATCTCCTTGAGTCTTGCAGCCTAGGCTTAGCTGAATAAATCCTCTTCTTCTTTGAATGAAAACTATTCGCTGTCTGATATGACATATTTATACTTTGATTTTGGGACGGCTGGTTATTTGAAAAATTTATGAGAAGCAGAAATATTCGTTCTCTTATTAATTGATAAGTCATTTCCCCTATTGGCATAGTTATTTTCAAGTGATGATTCCTTGTTCATTCTTCGTGTGATCTTCTTTTTGGCACTTCTGATCCTGCCAGGGGATATTCTCTTTGTTTTTGATTTGCCAGGCCGTTTCTTTAATGAAGAACCTATCATTTAATCTTGAATTATATTTATTATCAATAAATTTAATCAAGATTGGGGTTTTGGGGTTTTGGGGTTTTGGGGTTTTGGGG